GTGCAGTGGGACATGGCTCTTTCCCCAGGTGCGGGCATGGGCTGGGCAGTCACTGGGCAGGGCTCAGCTCCGAGGGGATTGCAAAATTTCTTCATCACTTGGATCAAAACCCGGACATTTTGTAACCTGTTCCAGAGCAGAGGTCAAAAAAAATTTTTCCCTGCCGCCGTTGAGCCCACATCCCTGTGCGTCACGGGTGTCACGAGCCGGGGGCTCCCTCTAGCGAAGCTGGGGCCACTGGATGAGGCCACGGGGTGAAAATCCACAGGGCAGGGATGAGGCTGGGGTGCAAACCTGCTCCAGCCACGCTTCCCAGTGCTGCTCCCCAGGTCCTGAGGTGCCAATTCTCCCTCCCTCGCTCATGCCCGGCTGTGGGGTCCGTCGCATCCAGAGCCCCTCTACATCTTTAGCATCATGCCGGCTGCCATAGCCGAGGGAGATTCTTGCTTTGCTTCAGCTCTGCTCTTTGCTTTGCTGCCCCTCACCTCCACAGCCATCGTTGCAGCCCCAGATTGATGGGTCAGCGTGTGCCAGAGGGTGAGGGGATGTGCTCCAGGGATGAGCGGGGTTTCTTCCAACCGGGAACGTTGATAGTGGTGCCCGGTGAGCAGAGGCTGGGCTGGGCTGCTGCCCGCTGCCTGGAGAGGCTCAGGCCATAGGCATCATCACGCTGGCATAAACTGTTGTGGGCTCCTTGTTGGGGCTCTGCAGCAAAGAGCAGGGAAGCAAAGGGGTCAGCGAGGTGCCTGAGCTGGAGGGGGGACCATGGGTTGCCCCACGGCAATGCCCAGCCAGGGCAAGGACCAGTGGGTGGCTGTCACCCTTACCTGTGAGAGGAGTGGGTGGCCCTGCAGGGTAGGTGGCTCTGTCAGGGGGCTGTGTGGGGGACGAGGGGCTCTGCCAGGGGCCAGGGCCATGTCCGGGGGCAGGCCGGTGGCTGCAGTATAGATGGTGGTGCAGGAGGGGTGCTTGGCGGCAGGGGCCCCTTTCTGCTTCTGCATGGAGACCGAAAAATGAACAAGCAGCTTGGTGGAAGCCCTTCCCTTCCTTCCACCCCACAAGCACCCACCGTGCCCTCCCTAGTTTGTGCTCAGCAGTGCTTGGGTAGGGGTAAAAGAGTCTGTCCCCAGAGCCACCTTGGGATGCTGAGGGCTGGGGAAGCTGCAGCACCCAACATTATCTCCAGCGATTCCCAAATTAACAGCAGCCAGGCTGACTCCTGGTGAGGCAGAGATGGGTGACATCAGGGAGCTCATGGCCACCCCAGTCCCCATCCCACCCAGTTTCACCCTCCCCCTCACCAGCCATGGGGCTGCGTTGACACCCAGTGCCCATCACGAGGGGTGCCACAGACCAGTGAGGAGGCACCCAGCAATGACCCGGGGCTTTGGGCGCTGCTGCCTTCGCTGCTGCATTCTGAGACCCCTACTCCGCAGGGTCCTGCCCGCGCTCCCTGCTGGCTGCAGCACTCGGCGTCCCACTGCTAAAGGAGCTTTTCCATCACCAAAGGAGCATTTCCCCGCGCGTCGAGGCTGGCTGAGGTCATGCTGGTCATGGCTCACCTCCACCCGCTGCACTTGGGAGTAGATGGTGTGCACGTTGCTCTCCTCAGCATGCGGCGAGGGCGAGTGCTCCTGCGCGGCTGCGGGGGATAAGCAAGTCACCAAGAGGTCAGGGGAGCAGGGACCAAGGGGTACCCCGGTGCTTTCCAAGCCACATCCTGCTCCGGCGTCTCAAGGAGCATGTTGGACCTGGTTGCATCCCTGTTGCTGCAGCTGCCCAGCCATGGTCAGAGGATTTCTGGCCAGCACAGGTCAGCTTTGCAAATTTGTTACTAAACAGGAGATGGGAGCAGGGAGCACAGCCCAGCTGAGGCACTCATGGAATGGTTTGGGTTGGAAGGGACCTTAAAACCACCCAGTTCCCCACAGCCATGGGCAGGGACACCTTCCATAGCCCAGGTTGCTCCAAGCCTCATCCAGCCTGGCCTTGGACACTCCCAGGGATGGGGCATCCACAGCTTCTCTGGGCAACCTGTGCCAGTGCTCCCCACCCTCTGCAGGAAGAATTCCTTCCTGATGGCCCATCTCCATCTCCCTCTTTCCGTTTAAACTCATCACCCCTGGTCCTGTCACTCCCTGCCCTTGGGAAAAGTCCCCCCAGGTTTCTTGTCAACCCCTTCAGATACTGGAGGGTGCTCTAAGGTGTCCCCGGAGCCTTTCCTTCTCCAGGCTGAACCCCCCAACTCTCCCAGCCTGTCCCCAGGGCAGAGGGGCTCCAGCCCTCGGAGCATCCCCATGGCCTCCTGTGGACTCGCTCCAACAGCTCCGTGTTCTTCTACTGTTGGAGGCCCAGAGCTGTATGCAGAGCTGCAGGGGGGGTCTCGAGAGCTCAGTAAAGGGGGAGAATCCCCTCCCTCGATGATGCTGTCTCGAATTTGGGCTGGGAGCATTCAGTTCCCCTTGAGACCATGCAATACAGCCTTAGAGTCTGTCATCTGGGTGATGTGTTGGAGATCACGTGCAGGTATGTTTCTCTTTTTCGCCTTTCTTTAGGTTGGTTTCCTTCCTGCCTTTTACTCTGTGCTCCAAGAGAAATACAGTTTGCTCCTTGCAAGGACTAGGACACTCCCGAGATGAGGTGCCCACAGGGATCAGCCCCTTGGTCCATTCACTGGGGCTGCCTGGGGACAGATTCTGTCCCCCCACCACAGACCACCAACCACCCCAGCACCCCTCCCTCGCAGCACTCACCAGTGGGCTTGGCCAAATGGGTGGTCTTGAAGACCCTGATGAGCATCATCACTGCAACAATGGGCACCACCAGCAGCAGCACGAGATACTGCATCCTCAGCCCAGCGCTGCCTGGAGTGGGGGAAGAGAGGACAGGGGGTCAGGCAACAGTCCCCAGGGTCACCCATAACTGAGCAGAGTGGCTTGCTAAACTCTTTTTTTATCTCATTGCCTAATTTTGGGTTGATGAGATCAGTAAAACAGGAAACAAGAGTCAGGAAACGCTTCTCTTGAGCAGAGAGCTGTCTAATCGCCTCCAGACTGCAACAGCAAAAACCCTGCTGGGGGCCAGATTGAGGCCAAACCCTAAAAAACGTCTTTGGTGGCTTTATGGGGCCTGTGGGAAGGCAGGCCCTTCGTACAACGCCCTTGCATGGCAGACAGGACAGAGCTCCAGCGGGCTCCCACTGTGGAGAAGCACCGGGGTGGCCCCTCTCCTGGGCTGCTAAAGGTGACACCATGCAGGGGTGTCCCACGGGTCCAGGGCTCTTGGCACAAGGGAGGAGAAACAAGCCTGAACCCCCTGCCGGGAGTGTCTCATTTCACCATCTACCTTTCCTACGCAGGAGTCTGACCGTTTTTCCCGCTGGGATGTATTCTCAGCACAGGTCACTGTGAGAGCCCCAGCAGAGATGTGATTTCACCACAGGTCCCTGTGGAAGGGGGCAGTCACCACGCCACCCTGCCCCGGCAAAAGTCCCCCATGTCATGAGGGAGTGCTAAAAATCCCAGTGAGAGAGCATGACTTTTACCCCATGAGCAGTCGAAGGGGAAGTTGTTGGTTTTTCTCCTCCCCAAACCATTCGGTGTATGTCTCATGCATTTAAAATGAGCCTTGAGCACCGGGGCATGGCAAGTGCACCAGGGACGAAGGTGGGACCTGTGGGAAGGGCTGGGCAACCCTGAGCAGGTGATGGAGCAGCCACTTTCCTTGTGAAAAGGTCCTTTGAGGCTGCCTAAAGCAGCATGACGAGGTCCCCTGCAAAGCAAGAGCAGGGCTGGGAGGCTGGGGAGAGCTGGGTTGGCAACAGGGGACTTACCCGCTCGCTCGTAGCTGCACTCGGAGGAGTGGAAGGTGGCGACCCGGCTGCTGATGGGGTTGCTGGCTGTGCAGGCACAGGTGACGCTCGCCTTCTGCAGGGTGTAGAAGAGGTGCAGGAAGCTGCCATTGTGGGAGCAGAGCCCTGAGGTGCTGCTGTCCCAGCTGTCCCAGCTGTAGGAGACATTGTCCCCGTGCTCTGCCGTGCAGTTGAGGGTTACAGTGCAGCTGGTGTTGGTCAGCACCCGGTCAAGGACCTGGATGCTGGGATCGGAGACTGCCTCTGGAGAGAGTGAGGAAGGGGCAAAGGTTTGTGCCTGGGGTAAGATGCAAACGTTGCCTGGCCTCTCCTAAATCCCTGGGAAGTGGAGAGGAACCAGTCTGGCCCCAGACCCACTGCCAAAGGCATGAGAGAGACACATGGTCTGCACCCCCCCACAGCCTCCTGGGGATACCCAGGTGGGGCTGCCTGAGTGTCTTGGACTCACTGCAGCACCCTGACATCGGTGTGGGCATCTCCCACTGCCCTTGACCACCACCCACCTCCCAGACCTGCTCCCAGCAGCACAGGGGGCTGTGTCTCACCATACACCTCCAGCTGTGTCTGCCAGACCTCCTCCTCCGACCCCTTGCTGACGATGTACTCGTAGAGCCGCCCATCCTGCCGGCTGGTATTCAGGATCTCCAGGGAGAAGTCCAACGTGTGGAAGCGGGTTCGTCCCTGCATGTAGTTGGTGTAGTTGCCATTTGTGTACGTGAGCAGGATGAGCTTCCTCTGCGGGTCCTCTGTGTCCCGCTTCCAGGTGGCTGATCCGAAGTGCAGGGTGAGGTTCTGGAGTTCGGGGGGGATCCGCAGTATCGTCGCCTTCCCCAAGGTGCCCAGCACCGTCTCCCTCGCCCCATGGCCCATGCCTGGGAGGAGAGTGGAGAGAAGGACTGAGGCAGGCAGGGAGGTGCAGGGGGCTCGGAGCGACCATTCCCCCCATCCCGGCTCTGCAGAGGCGGGCAGATGCCCGCAGAGCTGCGGT